AATAAAATAAAAATCAAGACTTCACATGGAACACTGGCTTGGTGTGCTTCTCATGGGGTATCTGTCTGTAAAATCTGCAAAGCAATGACACGCTTTTCAGAAAACCCACCGACATACTGAAGATGTCATTTCAGCTTCTGTTCAGACTGAGTCAAAAAAGCCAAACTGAGTCACTCAGGGTACCAAAAAGAGAAGCTGATAAATTTATTTCAAATGGACCGCTCCTTTTCAAACGTATTTATCAATAATCATAAACTTTTAGAGAAAAAAAAAACACCTGACTCAGATTTTTTTGCTGCAGTCTGTTCCATGTTTTAACATCCTTCCATTTTTTTCTGCTTTGTCTGTGACTTTGATGTTTTAGTTTACAGTTTTTTTGTGGCAGGTGGCTATTTGCAATTTAAAAATTACCTTCTTTCTGCTCATCTCCACAAGAAACATAAAAAGAGCAGCTTGTTAATGATAATCGTACAGATGGAGGGGGCTGAGCTGAAAGAAAAAAAAATGCAAGAAGGCACAAACCTAAATAATTGCGATCGTTGCTGTTGGCTAATCCAGTTGCCACATGATAATTTTATTTGACTGCATTGTGCATGGAGTCAAGTGTGTTTTTCTTTTCTGATGGTTTCAAAGAAGCCAAAAGATTTAATTAGTTCCCTCAAAAGTTCCGAGGCTCTCCTTCAACACAGTCAAATACATATGTACTCACATCGGTGTAGGACAATCTGTTCTGCACCAATCTGCCTAATGMTTTTTTTTTTCTGTAATAATATTTGAGATATATTTCGTGCGTTTGATCAGTTATAGAGCGGAGCCCAGTGTTTGAGTTGTAGGCCAGTGAGAGGAGAAAACACAGTCCCTGTGTGGGTTTTAATTGCCATGCTGCCTGACACTGCCTCGCTTGTTTTTCTTCCATCTCCTGTAAGAAGTGCACATAATTGGCTCCAGTGTTTGTGGATTCAGAGTTGCTCGTCAGCTCATAGAAATCATGTTTTTTGGCGGCACTCAGAGGTGTCCTCGGAGAGTAGAAAGTTAGTGTCACCTTTTGCTTCTCTGTGCTTTTACTTTGCCCCCTTTTTTTCCTGCTTCCTGTATTTTTTTTTTGTTTTGTTTTGTTTTGTTGAAGGGAACTGAACAGAAAAAGGCAGGTTTTGTTGGAAATCCAGTGAAAGGCAGAATTAGGATGCTCTAGTACAATGTTATAATGAGCAGAAATATGTGAATGGAGGTAAGGAAACTCAAAGTCCAGTGAGAATAAAGTCAGACCAGCTAGAAGAGGTGTAAGATGACCTAAAATGATTACGGTTTATTTAAATATAAGAGTCAAGATTGTGAAAACTTTWGAAGTTAAAAGAGACATCTCATGCACTTAAATCCTTTTTTTCCAATGTAAAGTGAACCTATGATGCTTTGGTCTGAATTTCTCCTTACTGTAACTCCACAAGCCCCACCCATTTTACTGAGGTGCGTCTCAGATCAACTCATTTTGAGGCTGTCTCTTTAAATCCAAACAAGGTGCTTTATACCCCGCCCTCCAGCTTCTAGACCGGTCCATTCTAGTTTGATAGAGGGGTTTATGACTATATAGCTGCGCAGAAACTTTTTATGTACTTAGTAATTAAAAGATGTCAACAAGGGAAGACTRGTCCATCCAGTCTTACATGTTGAAGTCAGAGTCAAAATTCTGCACTCCTCGAGACTCCCAAGTATAAAGTGCATTTAACTGCTAAAACAGTGGATTTTGCTGTGTCCCCTTTAAATTTATGAAGTAAAACAGAGTCCACAATGTAAAAATGTGAACTTTAGAAAAGAAAAAGACGAAAAATATACATCTATTAAATGTAATACCAATTAAAAACATCTTTGCAAGCTCAAAAACATTAAATTAATTTTTAATTAAGTATCTCTGTCGAAACTTTAACTCAAAAGATCTATTTTTTTATAATGAAGTTTAAGAAATATAGGTATGGTTTGTGGCTCCCTTCCAGCTGCAGGTTATCTCTGGGTTTACATTAATACCAGATTAAACATGAGATATAACACAAATCATTTCTTGTTAATTAGAAGAACAAAAGGTTTCTCAGGTTACTGTGTTGGAAAAATAATTGCGCACTACACTGTGTGGCAAGTTGAGCTGCATAAAAATGAAAWTCAGTTTCAGTACTTTAATGGCAAAGTCAACATTTTATTAATGTTTTTTATATTCTCAACAACCTTTTCTCTACTCTGCTCCTATGTTGGTGGTTGGTATTTTTTATGTCCTCCAAACAAACAACTATTCTGTGTTTCTTGTTACGTAACTCAGTGTGTGATTTAGTCAAAATACCACCAAGCATCTTTGTCAGAGTATCATTTAAAACAAACATTTTAATGTATGATTTAAAAAGTACTTTACCCATCATGTTTTATGTCACTTCAGAACTGTGCGGTAGAGTTTGTGAGATTTAGATGCGTCTATCTGTAAGATTTTGTGGCAGCATATTATTTGTCTTATTTTATTAATATTGTGTTGAAACTAGCAATTAATGAACAATATTTAAAAAATGACTGGAGCTCCGAGAGAGGAAGAATCCATTATAGAGTCAACTTTATTTTAATCCGTGTTAACTGCACACGTTTCTGCCTCACTATCCACAAAACTGAAATCCCTTTTTTTGTATGTTAAGCTCCAGTAATATATTTCTGCRATCGGTTCATGGCACTTGGCTTCCAGTTCTTAATATTTCAGCGAGTGTAAAGACTAAAAGGTCTCAGCTAAACCTTTAAAGTTTACCCAGGGCACTGGAAGAAATTCCTCACATTTTCCAGCCTCATCTTAAATAGCTATTACTGACCTGGCCTCAAGTGCACCCCCCCGTCGCCACCCACCCTCACCTCCATGTCTATCAGATCTGCAGAGTTTTAATGTGGTCCCTTCCTCACTTCTTCTGTTTCCATGGATACGAGCGCTCAGCATCTCCCAGTATTTGCCTTTCTAAAGGGCAATGTGAACTCAGGGCTTCAACCTCCTTTTTTGTCTGCCTATAAGTGTCTGCTCTATCATGACATCGTCACGGTGTATGTTTCTCTGCTTCCGCATGCGGAGTTTTATTTTTGGGATGCCTAATGAGGCTGGGGGTGGTATGGGCATCCAATTGAAGCGTGAAACAAAACGGTTGCATATGACCTGTTTCCAAGAAACACGACAGGCTCTATTTTCAGCACCTTGGACAGCACACGAGCAGCGACAACATCAGATTTTGCTTTTGGGGCGWGAATCTACAGGCGGAAAAGCTACCAGGCCTACAGTATACGGGTTTATTTTGTTCACATACCTAAAATTCAGCAGATAGAAGTGATGTCACATAGATTGCAATAGATTGTGAGAACRGTATTTATTCAATTATAATACGTAAAATTTAATCCATAAAATCATCCATAAAGTTGGAGGGTAGTATTATACTCGGATAAATATTTTTTTCTTATGTATTTTAACTGAAATATCGGCAAAATGCCTGAGTCCGGAAATGAGACCTTGTTGTAAAAAGCAGTTGAAACAAGCTTACCTCTGACACTCCTCCGTGCTTCAGAGCGAGATAATAACAGATCCAGGCAGGCGACATGATGGGAAAAAAGGGGGGGGAGTATTTCTGCACCTTAGTAAAGATAACAAACTAATGACATTAGTGTGTGACTGGGCCGCTCCTCAAACAACAACAAACACGTTCGTCTGTAATGGCTGACGTCTGCCGGTGTTCTGAAAAAATTTGTATCCCTGAAAAAATGTTTCCCCACCAGAGAGGGCGCTTGCGAGTAGGAAGTAATCTGCTTTTGCCTCACAAGATGGCCCAAATCTCATGTGAAGTCTCTGACTTTTGTGTTGGCGCATCCTGGTGGACTATGTGTAAAATGCCAGAATTCAAATGATGCTGCTACAGCTGATATATATTTGTTGTCAAAATACCTTTTAGTACATATGTTGTTAAAATAAAATGAACAGTCCAATGATCATTTTACTGATATGTATAAAGACTGCAAAGGCTGAAAAATCTTGAAGTCTGTATGAAATTGGAGGTAGTTTGAGGATTAATTTTTTGTGCTTTTTAAGCTAAAAAAAGGTGGGGGTCATATTATACATGAGATCGTATTATACACGAATAAATACGATAATTTGGTTTTCACCCCATAATAATCAAAACCAGTGCCAGTTTTATAAACCTGTTTAAAGGCAAGGTATGTAAAATTCCAAAAGCTGCTTTGAATGCCTTTTTTTAAAAGTGAAATAAAAAAAAATGTTGGCAAGCTGGATGGAAGTCACCTGCTGCCCATCCCTGATATAGACGGTGTCGGCTGCAATGATTAAGGACAAACTTTTCAGCAAAAATGTCACAGTTAGGCCTAACAAATGTCTTGGAGATGACGCTCTGCCACCAAGACACCAAACTTGAGCTCAGCATTTGCAGAATTAGCTCAGTTTTGCAACGATTAGAATTTGAGTTTTAATCTGTAATCTGTTCTAAAGCAGGACTGTTGACCTGTGTGACCTCTGTGATCTGCAGGAGAATWACTCATTTAGTGTGACTTTCACAGAGAAAATGCAAAGTGTAAGGGAGGAAACAGTTTTGCGTGGACAGTCTGGAATGTGTTGCTACACTTCAGTCCTTCCCTCTCTGTACAGTGTTACTCAGATTACCAGGGCTTTGCTTTGCTAACTGTGTAAAAAGAAGGGGGGTAATCTATTCTTATTCGCAAAAGACATTGTGTAGTGACAAGATTCCTAAAAACACTTCTTTCTTTCTAATCCTTTTCTAAACAATCCCATTTGGTGATGCCTCTCAGTGGAGCGATGAGGGACAGGCTTACGACGCTGAGAAGTTGTCGAGCCTGGAAATGATCCGTTGCCTCGGACACATGCGTTCCTTTTTCAGTGGTGTTGTATCCCCCCCACCCGCGGTTCTGTTTGTGTAAAACACTTGACCTTGGCTCACACGCCTCCAGGTGGGATCCCCAGCATACTAATGAGGGTTAGTGGAGAGGAATGCTACGCCGTGGCTTTCTGTGTCAGCTGGTCTGGCTGTGATCGGATCCAAACTATCACCTCCTTTGGTGTTGCGGATCAAGCTGAGGCTTTGTTTCATTCACTCTTTCTGTGGATTGTCAAGAGGGATAAATACTGTTGATGGGGCAAGAACAGTTCCAGGAAATTAAGAAATATCAATACAATTGATGTGCACCCGCAGGGAGTTTCTACTTTTATAGAAGTCTTTTGGAATCCGAGGGAGACTGCATTACCTTAATGCAAGACTGCAGCACTTTAATTTGTACATTAACTGTTTTAAAACTCAATCTCAGTAAAATGGATTGGAGTAAAGCTGAGTTTAATGCTGAGTGAAAATTTCTTATACCGTGCTTCTTTTTCTTCTGTCAATAGGGTGTGTGCATCATGACAACAGCTTTCCTGCACTTCTTCTTCCTCGCATCTTTCTGCTGGGTCCTCACAGAGGCCTGGCAGTCCTACATGGCGGTAACAGGAAAGGTTCGGACCAGACTCATCCGCAAGCGCTTTCTCTGTCTGGGCTGGGGTAAGTATGCCGGGCTTATCGTCACCARGTCTTGCAGCTGCCATTTTCCGACTCTATCACTTGACAAGGTGTCCGTCTAGAAACGTATAAGTCGTTTTCCTTTTACTGTTCTCATCACCTTCGTGGGGCGACTGGATCTTCGTCCTGGCAGGCTCTTTGTTGCGGCGCTTTTGTGCTTCAGTCAAGCTGGATAAATAGAGCGGCCTTTTAGCGGCGTTGGGGGGGATGGGACAGACTGGCGCAGTTCTCCTAGAGCAGGTTGCAGTGACCTTATGTCTGACGGAGAGGATGAGAGCTTGGCATTTGCACTACGCTGCAGCAGGATACGCTTTATCTAGAGCCCTCACTCATGGAGTTCAGAAGTATGGAAAATTTACACATCTAAATTTGGACAAATGTTCACACTGAGGCTGCACCAAATACAGAGAAGAGCGAACGTATCTTCTCTGAAACGTGGTAAAATCTGGTGTTCAGTCATGAAAAACTAGGTACCGCGTAGTGTTATCCTATATGACCCCTGCACGTACGCAAAGCACCAATGCATCAGGTTTATTGTTTTGATTGGGGGTCCGGGGGTGGGGGGGCTCATTGGTGGGCCTGAAATGGTAAATGGTACTGAACTTATAGAGCGCTTTTCAAGTCCCTCCGGACCCCAACGCGCTTTACACTAACAGACATTCACCCATTCACACTCACATTCACACACTGATGATGGCAAACTACACTGTAGCCACAGCTGCCCTGGGGCACACTGACAGAGGTGGGGCTGCCATGCWTCGGCGCCACCGGATCCTCTGACCACCATCAGTAGGCAAGGAGGGTGAAGTGTCTTGCCCAAGGACACAACGACTGAGACGGCTGGACGGGGGATTGAACCAGTGACCTTCTGGTTCCAGGACGACTCCCCTAACCACTCCGCCACAGCCGCCCCAAATGAAAGATTACCCTTCATCGGAGCTGAACAAAAAAAATAATAATAATCAGAAGCTCCTACAGTTTTTGAGTTATAAGCATTATTTTATGTCCAGACACCCACTTTTCAGATGGAGTGGGGGGTCCAGGGGGGCTAATTAGTGGGCCAAATGGATAGCCCATCATTTTAGTTAAACAAAAACAAATGAAGGAACGAACGAATGAACGAAGGAACGAAGGAACAAAGGAACGAACAAACAAAGGAACAAAGGAACAAACAAACGAAGGAACGAATGAAGGAACAAAGGAACGAACAAACGAAAGAACAACGGAACGAACAAACGAAGGAACGAATGAAGGAACAAAGGAACGAATGAAGGAACAAAGGAATGAACGAASGAARGAASGAARGAASGAACYAASGAACAAAGGAACYAASYAASGAACAAAGGAACAAAGGAACGAACAAACGAAGGAACGAATGAAGGAACAAACAAACAAACAAACAAAAAACCCTGAAGCTCCTATGTTGAATAGTTTTTGAGCATTTTTGTATGTCCAGACAACCCCTTTTGAGATGGAACCCCCTCCTCAAATATGGGGTCTATGGTAAAACCATTGGCTGGCACAGTGTAGGTCAGATCATCTACAGTCCTGCCAAATTTCATGTTGATCAGTGCAGCCGTTTCCGTGACACGGTTGACCAAAAGATACAAAAAAAACTAAAAAAATACAATAAAAGAAATAAACAGTATGAAAACTATATGACCCCCAATTTACATGTAGGGGTCATAATTAACACTTGTGTGTTTCATTGTAAGAGTAACATTCAAACACATGATTTAAATCATGACAGATTCGAACTATAAAATAATTTTTGCAAATGAATGGGTTCATGAGCACATCTGGGGGAAAAAACAGACAAACTGTATCAAAATGTAAAGATTCCCCTCCATTTGATAACCGTCAGTCCTGATCTCCCTCCAAACAGCTCTTCTTTTCAAGCTACTAGAAATCTCTTCTTATAAAAAAAATCAATTTGATTATGAAAGAGCCCACTCTCATTCTTCTTGTTACCTAGCAACAAACAAGGCTCTCTTAGTCATTGCAGTGCCACTGCTTGCTGCAAAAGATGGACAAAGACTGTTCTACTATCACAAAGATTCAGGGTTAACAAAAAACTCATTGTGGGAATATGGATGATGAATAAATGACGATTCGCTTTTTTTAATGCACCTTTCTAGAAAACTGTAGTTTTTAATCTCTGGAGATTATGATCTGGATGACAACATACAGTAGCATAAGCAGATCACAGCTCATAGTATAGTTTGTCTCTTAATTTAGCTCGTTTCGAGAGCAGTGTCTCTACGCCCGAGTTGTGATTTATGGCGTGCTGGCGAACACTCAGCACACTTTACCTCCTCGGCACTGCAGAGAGGCACAGGACGGCCACAGGGTCTTTGGCTCGTGCCTCCAGGAAACTGATTACATCAATAGCACCTGCCTGCGCCGCTTGGAGAGGAAACYCTTTAATATTCCGTGCACACAATTGTAAAGACTGAATCAATTGCACTGATCTATAATGAGGAGCCACACAGACACAAAAAAAAACCTTCTTATTACAAAAGGTGAAGGGCGGTGAAATTTCTCGTAGTACAGTCATGAAATCTCACTATGTTGCTTCCTGTATCTGACGCACTGCTGCCATTTTATCAAAGCTTGCAGCGTGTTCTCATCCAGCTGTAAACGCTATATTGCCCGATGTATTGACTGAAATGGTGAAATGTGTGTGGTTGATCATAAACTCCTGAATGTTCTCACCYTCTTATATGGTGGTCTCTAATGAAATCAGTGTAGATTACCTTTTCCTGCAATGAAGTGTTTTTTTTTTTCTTTTTTTAAATTCTATCAGCCGGAAATCAAACTGCTCTAATAACTGTTTGTTCTTTCTTTTCAAAGGATTACCAGCTTTAGTCGTTGCAGTTTCAATGGGATTCACCAAAACAAAAGGCTATGGGACACCTTTATAGTAAGTTGTTTTTATTTCTTTTCTCTTTTTTTTCTTTTTTTTGCTTTGTCATTTCTAGTTATTCCTCAGCACTCGCACAAATGGTGGGTTCATGGTAACACTTAAGAGTAATGATGCAGTGCTTCTGCAGTGYCTTACTTATCCTAAATAGAGCCATAAACAAAGTCCCATGAACCCAATCAAATCTGAAAATAGCACAGCAAGACCCCAATTTCAAGTGACTTGTATCCCGGCGGGACATCAAATGCATAAACACTGCTCAAAATCTCTTTAGCATTTTATTGCCCTGTGAAAGTTTGGGTACAGAGCTCGAGCATATGGCACATCTCCACTGACAATTGAGCGAAATAACAATGATGTGCTGGTGAGCACCATTACCGTGGATGTTAACGCTGTGGTGGGAGTTAATTGTTTTTTTTTTCCTTTTTGTGTGTGTGTGTGTTTCTTTTGCAGCTGTTGGCTCTCTTTAGAGGGTGGGCTCCTGTACGCCTTTGTTGGACCTGCAGCAGCTGTTGTTTTGGTATGTGTTGATTTCTACTTTATTTACTTCATCGTGCAAAGAATGCACAAGATATTCTAAAGCACTTGATTTTTTTTTTTAAATGTGACCTATCACATCAAACCACAGCCTGGTAAAAAAAAAAACAGCCTCTTGTTCTTCACTTTGCTTTGTATGATGGTCTGGACTCTTGGCTATTGAGAAGCAATTTCTTCCTGGAGGCGTGTTCTCTGTTGAAGTTTAAAATGATTGGATCTGATTTACCCAATCGCTTACGATTGGCCGTCACAGCAAACATTAGCGATTGGGTAAATCAGGTAGTGTGCCAGCTTGACCATGAAGGAAGCTAAGCTAAGAAGCTAACCGGAAATTGCTTGTGCTGTAAACAACCGTCCCCTACTGAGAAGAGAGAGGTACCGAGRTGAACGAGACGGCTGTAAATGAGAGCTGCAGGCTTTGAGAGACAAATTTAATTMAATTTAGAAACCTGTCATCARYGACTGGCTTCTTTCACTTCCTCTGCTGCCTTTGCTAAACTACAAGCAGACTAAAAAAAGCACAGAAAACCGTCGTCGTTCACAACTCCTCCTTCTGTTCGCGGATTGGCCCGGTTGAAATTCTACGGGAGAAATCCTTGTCTATGGGAGAAATCCCAGACGAAACAGTGAAGGGAAACTAGAACTGAGCAGAACTGTGTAGGAAAGCAAGGGCCAGACTAATCAAACAAAGGATTAAGACCAAAAGTGGTGGAGAAATAGCAGATATAGTGTTTTTATGAAAACATTTGCTTTAATTGCATTTTGTCAAACTTTAATGAGCAAATGCCTTATTAATGTGTTAGAAATATCATTTTAATTAACCTTTCTGAAATATAAACTTAAACAAKTTTTTAGAACACMTTTCATCAGTAGCAACAGAAAAAAAAAGATTTTGAGCAAAACCACTTTAATTTTATTTTGTCAAACTTTAATGAGCAAATGCCTTATTAATGTGTTAGAAATATCATTTTAATTAACCTTTCTGAAATATAAACTTAAACAAATTTTTAGAACACGTTTCATCAGTAGCAACAGAAAAAAAAAGATTTTGAGCAAAACCACTTTAATTTTGTTTTATTTTTTCCCTGAGAGCTAGGAAAGCTTTTCTTTTTTTTCCAGCTTGGAAATCGTAGTATCCAAATACCATTTCAGATTTATTGGAATAACCTGAAAATAGGATTTAGGCCAAAAATGAATGTATTGTTGTGATTAACAAGACAAACAATGTCTAACAATGTTTAGAACCGCTCATGATGAAGAGGATGATCCGGGTATCAAAATGTAGCTCCAAAAGCCAGAAATCTGAAAATGTGCTGAAGTCATTTGGACCAAATTTGACCTAATCCTCAGTTTGATGGTTCACAAATGTGCAAATATTTCTGAATTTCTGAACCTTTTTAATTAAGATTTGAAAATTCCAAAGCAATTTGCAGCAATTGTTTAAAAAAAGAAACAAAGCTCATTTGGCGATAATAACGTATGATTGTGGTTCGACTGCACAGCGTCATAATGACTAACAAGAGGAGCACACTCTGCTTTCAAAGACAAAGTAATGAGCGCCCCATCGGGCTCAAGTAATTCTCTTTCATTTGTCATAATGGTCCTCCATGTAGCTGTAAAGTTATTAAGTATTTATGTCTCCGATTTGTCCAACATCTAATATAGCAGGGTAATTTAATCAGCTGGTGTTTATGTAGTTGTAATAAGAAAAGTACACAAAAAAGCATRATTATCCAAATAGCTAAAGAATGTGGATATTAAATTCCAGTTTTACTGTCAAGTCTGTTCTATTTAGGATATGGAAGTGACTAAATGCTAGCCTGTTGCTCTGTTGAGGTTCTGAACTTCAGAGGAATGCACGCTAATGTCTGCAAGTTAAAGGGAACATACACAAAATCCACTATTTTAGCTGTTTGCATTTTGTTGTGTACTTGGAGTCTCTAGGAGTGCAGACAAGTCCATTTTAGCTTCTCTTGGTGCTGCGTAGCTATCTTTATATTCAGTTTTAGTTTTCTCTTTTTTCAGGCATTGCAGTTCCACTTTATACAGACCCCAACTGAATGACTGAAATGTGAAAAAGAAGGTGTCTCCTTTAAAAGAAATTGAATTCTCTCCCAAATCTGTTTTTTTGGAAATACTTATTGGGTCATCCAACGCATTTGATTGTATCTAAATGTGTTAGAAATATATATATATATATATTTTAATAGTTAGAGGGGAACTAGTTTTCTGATAATACAAGGAGAACATGTCTTTGAGAAGTGCCTCTTGACAGGCAGATCTTTTCCTGAGGATGGTGTGCTGGGATGAGTGTGCAGGTCATGTCTCATGCACTGGCTGAAATGCCACAGAGAAGAGCAAACAACAGAAGRTGGAGGTCGCGGCTCGTTGCAGATGAAAGCAAATGCTGTGGCAGAATGAGTCATTGGCAACCTATGGCTGTGTCRAAAACGACAGGCCGGGTCCTCCGGAGGACCCAGACTACCCGTTCGAGGTGGGCCAGGTCCTTGGTAGACCGGGAAGACCGGAAAAAAAAGAGGCTGTGAATTTGGCCGGTCTAGCCTCCACTCCTTACCCCGGCGTACGTCATGTCACCTAGCAACTGTGACAAGGCTAAACAAACAAACTTAAATCAAAATTAGAAAAATATCAATACATTAGAATTATTAATATCACAAAACAATAAAATTAACTTAAAGGTATCATTTGAAGAACTAATTGACCCGCTGTAG